TAGATATACTTAAAATTTTTAACTTATATATATATATATATATATATATATATATATATATATAATTTTAATGTTTTCACACACTTAGAAGTAAATATTCGTCATATGATTATACATGAATAATTAACTATTTTAAATTTGAGTATTGTGTAAAAGAAAACATAGTTGAAAGATTATACTCCAGTAAAAATAGGTTTACAAACTTCCTGGTAAAAACTGTTCATCAATAAAAGTAATTAACGTAGTTATATACTCGTATATGAATACTTAAAACTAAAGTTTGAGGAAAGTTATTGAACTTTTTAAAAAATATGACATAATTTATAATTATATTATAATTTTAATGACAAGAAAATGTAATAGTTAATTAGCATTTATTTTTGTCGCCCTGGAAATTGATAGGCCACATACATTATTCTCGTGTTGGTGGCTTAGGGCTTAGAGACCCTTTTGCTGGCTTCTTTCAATCACTTGAACGTACCCCACCCCCACACTGTTCTGAACAAAGACACAGAACGAAGCAGCATTGTTCTTCGAAAGGCCAAATAGACAGATCACACTCCTAAACACTCCAACACACTAACATATACTATAGAATAGAATAAGCACACACATACACTGTGTCACACTCTCTCTCTCTCTCTTTCACTCTCTCTCTCTATTAGTCATATTCTCATACATACATATACACCATCACACTAGCATACACTTGGACATGGGACCATACTCCTCAGCTTAAATTTTGAGCTTTTTCGTGGACGACAGGATCCGACTCTGCCGCTTCTCCTTCACTCTCTCTCCCCCCTTATTTCCTCCCTCTCACTCTCTCAAGTCTCATTCATGGAAATGGAAGATCACCATCATCACCACCACCACCTCCACCATCAGCATCAACAACAACAACAACACCAACAACAACACTTCAACATCAACATGAACATGAACGATCTCAGGCAAGTGCTCAATGGGCCGAGGCCGCCCCATAACAACCTCCCCTCCATGCCGCCGGTGCTTTTCCCCGGCCACCACCGGAATCTCGGGCCAACACCCTTGCCCTCTCCCCAACAACATCACTACGAGGTTATGATGTTCGGTCGCGACATAATGCCACCTGGCCTCCACGACTTTGCTTCCACCACCCATGATTCTTCTGCAGCCACCACCGTCGCCGCCGTACCCACTCCACCCGCCACTAGTGCCTTTGACGCCGAGGGTGCAGCTTGCATCGGTGCAGACCCCTCCACCGGAAGATGGCCCAGACAGGAGACTCTAACTCTTCTTGAGATCAGATCTCGCTTGGACCCTAAATTCAAAGAGGCTAATCACAAGGGTCCCTTATGGGATGAAGTCTCTAGGTACAATATTTCACTTCTTCCCCACATAACTTCATTTTAGGTTATCAAACAAAGATGCTCAAAATTCATTATTTATCTTTTCTTCTATGTACTCTCATGGAATGTTTAACTTGATTTTAGGTTAAGAGAAATACTCACTCTTTTCAAAGTATTTATGGTGGAATTTATTTAAATGGAATTGTAATACTCTTAAATAATTCCTCTTTCACTACTTTGTCAAAGAGTTCAACTCAATTAGTTGAGTTATGTGTGTGAGTTGTTGTAATCTCAAGACGCTGAATTTGATTTCTGCGGATAAAAAAAATAAGAATTCCTCTTCTACTTCTATAGTACTTGCTTCTCCAATTTCTGTATATTCAAGAGTTGAGGATTTTAAAATGATTTTGTGGAGTCTGTTAATTTGTTTGTTTTCTAAAAAAAAAAATAAGGGCAACCAACTAAATTCGATGCACATGTCGCGTTTCCGGGGTTTAGTTAATTGTGAGATGACATGGATGGACTTGACGTTAATTTTGTCGTTAGGAGTTTTGGAAACTATATGACATGTAACGGTGTGCATTAATTTTGTTAAGCTTCAATTTCGTTGGAAATGAAATGACTATACAGTGTGAAAATTAAAGCTGTTTACTTATCTATTCAATTTTCGACAATTGATCGTGTACTTAAAAACATTAAGTTCGTGTTTCTAGTACGGTTTCTAGCGCTGTCTCGTTTTCCATTTTGAAATTTTGTACCCATCTTTTAGGTGCAAAGATTTTGATCCCTTCATTTGTTTATTTGTTTTTCGTTTGTTGAAAGTTCATTGACCATTCCGATGCATTTGCACCTGTCTTCTGATTCCATCGTATGAAATGACATCAAGTTGAGGCTCTTCCTTCGAAGCCTCACTTCTATGGCAATTGCAGTGTCGCATGCTTTCTTGTGCTTGCTATAATTAGGCACCAAAAATGTCACTGCATGGCATTGCATAAAATTATTAATTACTAATTGCCAATGTTCATCGTCACATCGGGGGGAGGGGCTGTTCTATGAGAAGAACTAGGGTTCTATTCTACAATGTTGGGATAGCTTTTTTTCTGGTTAATTTTTTCTATACCCATTTGGTTTTTGATTGTGGTGGTGATCTCAGGATCATGTCTGAAGAACATGGATATCAAAGGAGTGGGAAGAAGTGCAGGGAGAAGTTTGAGAATTTGTACAAATATTACAAGAAGACAAAGGAAGGTAAGGCAGGAAGGCATGATGGGAAGCACTACAGATTCTTTCGTCAACTTGAAGCCTTATATGGAGAAAACAGTAACACAGTTTCAGTCCCGGAAACCAATGTTGTTGGCACCATTCATTTTCAAGCAAGCAGCCACGCCCCTTCCCAAACAAATCAAGAAAAGTTTCAGTCTCACAATAACAAGCATTGTGACAGCCTCAGCCTCACTAACTCCACAAACTTTGACACATCATCATCTGAGGATGATGAATATGATCACAGCATGGAGAATGAGTCCATGGAGAAGAGGAGAAAGAGGAAGAGTGGGAGGAGTTGGAAAGTGAAGATAAAAGACTTCATTGACTCACAGATGAGGAAGCTGGTGGAGAAGCAAAAGGAGTGGTTGGATAAACTGGTGAAGACACTTGAAGAGAAGGAAAAAGATAGGATGCTGAGAGAGGAAGAGTGGAGGAAACAAGAGGCAAACAGGTTAGAGAGGGAACAAAAGTTTTGGGCTAAAGAGAGAGCATGGATTGAAGCCAGGGATAGTGCTCTAATGGAGGCTTTGCAAAAATTAACTGGGACACAGATAATGAAGGATGAAACTCATTCTGAGGGTATAAATGCAGTAGCAGCTGAAGTTCAAAACCAGAATAATGAAGATGGAAGTGAAATCTTAAACAGCAATACTATCATCAGAGGTTCTGATAGCTGGCAAGAATCTGAGATCACAAGGCTTCAACAGTTGAGAGCTGAGTTGGAGACAAGTTTTCTTCATAGTGAAATTTCAGAAGAGGTTACATGGGAGGTAGTAGCTAACAAAATGGCTTGTTTTGGCTACGAAAGGAGTGCTTTGATGTGCAAAGAGAAATGGGAAAGTATGAGTAACAACTATTCAAGGGAGGATAACAAGGAAGGGAACAAGAAGCGCAAGGAAAACTCTAGAACCAGCTTTTACTTCAAGAACGATGATGATCAACAATCTTCCCTATACGATCATGGAAGTGCATATTGTGGTGATATGAATGATCAAGGGAAAGTGATTGAGAGGCTACAAAGAAATAATGGTTCTTCACCTTCAAAATCAAATGTTGGAAATGTTGCTCCCTCTGATAGTTGCTTTCCCTTCTTGATGAGTGCTGAGGGTGGAAACTTGTGGGAGAACTATGGCTTAAAGTTCAATAAAGCAAACCAAAACCACTGAGTAGTGAAAGATATATGGTTCGTGCATGAGTGGTGTAAGCAGCACGGAAATTTGAGAGTCTAGTATCTGAGACGGTCTCACATCATGTAAACAAGAGCTAAGTGAGGGTTTATGTATAGAGATTGATGATGATTATATAATCAATCTTATTATATATATTTATGGGTCATTTAGGAGAAAAATAATGGCTTCAATTTATATTTTAGTGAGGGAGGCGAAGTGACAAAGTTCACTTGCGTGTTGGAATGTGACACCAATCTCAGGTGAGTTTCTTTTTCTTTTATGCATGCAAATGGAATCAAAATTGTATTATTACCTGGTATTTTGCATTTTCAAGGCTTCAACGATGCTTGCATCAATTGGTCACTGTTTCTCTCCTTCCTCCCTCGTGTTTCTCTGTGTGTATAGTTTTGGGTTAAATAGTGCAGGTTTTTGGTATTTGTACTGTAGGTTGGTAACTGAGATAGTAATTTCTTCCCTTTGTTACTTTTTCGGTAAATATTTATGTGAACAAGGAGATTAATGTGCTCCTTTAGGCATTAAACCAGGTCATTTTTTATTATTAATTTTTATTATGAAAGAGACTTTGAATTAAAAATTAAAACAAAATCATTTGTCCTCATTTGTAGATAATTGGTTCATATGAGGGGAATAGTAAATGTTCGTATATGATTTCTTCTTCCCTCTTTTCTTTTGTTTAATAATTTAATATATCAGTATGTCTCGAATTTTTTTGAAATTTTTTAATTAAATTTCTAAATTGAAAAAATATAATTACATTTATTATCTTTAACAACTTTTATAACCGGGTCTCTGAATTAGTAAAATCGTCACAAATTATTTTTTCTGACATTTTCAAGTTGTTATAATCAAACTTCATATACTTAATTACAAAATTTATAGAAGATAAAAAATTTAATTATATTTTTAAAAAATATAAACACTTAATTAAAAAACTTTAAACAAATTTATGTAAAATAGTTTGCAAATTTTGAGTTGCCACTATATTCTGATTTATAAGAGTAACTTCAATGGGAGTTGTTTGTCCCATAAAGCAACTCAATCCTCGGTTTCTTGTCATTGGAGGACTCTGATGTGATAACATGAGTTACTTGAAGAAGAGAGAGAGTTGTTTCCTCAAGCAACCATTCTTTACAAGATTTCAAGTAGATTTTATTGAACATATTTGGGAACGTTTCGGAAATAATAATGATGAAAATTAATTTCGTATAATGTTTATGTATTTACTATTGCTAACCCCCAAGCGTGTGGTTTAGCGGTAGGGGTTGATCCACGCTTAAGCAAGGTCAGGGGTTTGAATCCTGCCTTGTGTATGCAGCCGCGTTAAATCTTGAGACTAGTTATCCCACCCTTTTAGGTGTCTCCAACGTAGCGAGAAGATTAGTCATTGCTATCGGCTCTGGATACTCCAGGGACGAACAAAAAAAAATGTATTTACTATTGCTTTATTTTATTTTTAATATCTATTTATTGTGTATTTTTTCTCGTAATTTATTTTTTTTCATTGTAGTGTAATTATCCTTTTTGATAAAAATTTAAATTTGGTTCATAAATGATTAGAAAAAAATTCTAAAAGTTGAATTTCTTAACGTTTCTTACCATTGGAGTAAATTTGTGCTTGAGTTGTTTAATGCTGATATGGCATACTGGGGACCACTTATTTCATTTTTCAATGCATGAAGTAACTCAAATAAGTTACTTCTATTGGAGATGCCCTAAAAGCCTCCCATATATATAAGCACCGCTGAAAGTCTTATCTAATTACTAATTAAGTAAATTCTTAATTATTCACATTGATCAATATAAGTGTGATAGCAGTTTGTGTCCTTTAATCAAGTTATTTAAGATTCAAATCTTGATATTAAATATAAAATAAACTATGTTAAAAGGAGAATATTCATTTTGTGTATGCTCACAATTCCCAACAAAAATTAGTCATCACTTTTAATGATGGATATTTCATATCAATACTATGACTATCTAAAAAAGAATTTCTAATTCCATTCTTAAGAGAATAATAAACTATATTGGCTGAACTAGTTAAAATTGGTGCTGGAACTGGATAGTGCTCAATACTCTATGGTCTTTAATTAATCTACTAAAAGTGCCTAGCAATCAAATTGGTGTGGTTACAAAAGTTGCAGAAATAAATACACATAATGCAGAAAAATTTCGTTGCATTACCAGAGTAGCTGTTTTGGTTTACTAGGAAAAAAACCTAACTAATTATCATGATATCTACCACATATATTGCATCTCAATTTACCACTGGATCTGCACCCAAATGCTGGCTGCAATTGATGTATTCTATGATATAATATATCAATGATGAATAAGGATAATTAATTAGCAAGAATTAACTTGTGTGGTGTAATACTTGTCTTAAGTACACTGAACTGAGATTTTACACACACATAAACATGTATGAGTAATAATATCCATCTAATTCCTTCAGGATGTAGTGTACTGCTTGATGGGTGTGCAAATTAATGAGCACAAGGATCAATCAATATCATACAGCACCACGTTGCAGCATATACCCAAAAAAGCCACACATTGCAGCATAGTAATTCTCCAGCGATACACTCGACAGTTATATATATTTTGTGGTCCTTGCTATTTGACTGTGAAATAAATGACCCACAACACGGCGCAAGTAATTAATTTGTTGACCTCCGATTCCTGCACTTTACCTTCTTTTGTGTGGCCATGTATGTTTAGGGTTACTATATCAATGATGAAAACATGAAACAAAAATGTTACAATGAAACCATAACAGATTAGTATCAAGTCAGAATTATCTTTCCTTTCATGTTCATATTAAGTACGAAAACTGTTAAATAATAATGAGTTTTTTATAATTCAAGCTTCAAATTACAAAAGTTGTTATATTTTGTTAATTACGTATTATTTTCAATTTTATTTTTTTCTTCAACCATAACTTATTGTTAGATATTTATATTAGCGTTTATTAGCGTAACAGAGACACCAAGTATTTTGTTTAAAAATAAAATAAACTAAAAGATAAAAACTAATTGAAGTTGAGTAATATAATAAGTGATTAACAATTAATTGGAGGGTTTAAGTGGTTTAATTTGAGTAATTGTAGAGGTAAAATATATTAACTAAAACTACTAAATATTCTGTTCATATATAGTTTAAATATAAAAATTCATATTTATGATAGTTGTCATATCTAATTAATGTTGTCGTCAATTAAATATATCTATTATATTTTTAATTTGAGGAAAAAATTGTTGTTGTTTTTTTTGTCTATTTGATTTGTTAAAAAAACATGGTACATGGCACAAAAATAATTATTTCTAAAATTTAATTTGAAATGAAAGATAATTATTAGATATCACAATTCTAGTAATTATGATGTACAAAAATCATTTTTTATTCAATAAAGTGATAAATTACTCAAAAGATAAGAAAACTTATGCTATTGTGAATACTATTACATCACATTAGTATAAAAGAGGTATTTTGTATCGATTATTTTAAGGTTTTTACGTTGAAAAAAGGTCCGACGTTAATGCAAGAGACGTAAGACGATGTAAATTTACATCAGATACAGCATGTTCGACGTAAATTTATGTCAGACAATGCTATATCCGACGTAAATTTATGTCGAACATGGTGTGTCCGACGTAAATTGATGCGTTTTTTTTTTAAAAAATCTTATTTTTTGATACACTCAAAACTTGCATACAGTCCAAAATACAAAACCTAACCTAGGCATTCTAGAATACAAATTCAAATATAATTTATATTTCAAAATTGAATGACAAAAAGAAAATAATATATAAATCTTAAAAGTATAAATTAAGACAATGTAAATCCTATTATCCTAAAAAAACTATAAAACATATGTTTGTCAATGCTATCAAACTAGAAACATAATATCCAACTAACTAAACTTAGAAATCTAACTATTATATACTTTGAAGAAAAAAAGTTTTTCATTGTTCTCTTATTTTGATGATTTCATCTTTGGGCAATAGAGATGGATCTTGAAAGACCTGAAACATTAATTTAAGTGTCATTAATATGCAATGTTAATTATCATAAAGGTAAATATACTTAAATAAATTTTGATATGAATTACCTGCCCCCAAGAATCAGTAATACCCGTAGAAACTATGGTTCTCATCCAATACATGATGTAATAGCCACATTCAAACGAGTCTTGTTTCTTATTACACTAAAATGAGAAACAAATAACTATTATTTTCAAAGTCAATAAATTCAAATATTATTGTCTCTATTAATTAATTTGCTAACTTTAGGGTATATGAATTGCAATGTCTTTGATCTGGCTCTTCCACTTTAAATATTAGCTCCAGACACGATTCTAATTAATTGAAATAAAAATATATGTTAGCCAATATATATAGTTACAGTTTTAAAACATAATGAACAATTTTAGTTACCCTTGTAATTGACATTTAATTTCGTGGCTTGGTTTTCGATGTATTGAACAAAACCACACCACGGTGTATTCCTTAGGAATGATTACCATTAACTGCCAATGGGACCTACAATGTATGACAAATAAATTAGTTATAAAATTACCATGATTAAGAAACCAATTAAAAAACTAACCTGTCAACGTATGGAGCCATGTATATATCTCTTCTTGATTCACTCATCCATGTTTGCATATATTGTTGGATCTGGACCTGAGTGTTTCCTGATTTTTGGATGGATTGAGGCTCAATAAATCCATATACTTGTGCTTGTGCTTGCTCCACACTCAATTTGTCCATGTACCTAACACAATTAATTATTATAAGTTAAATGTAATTATTGTAATTTTAGACTCATAAAAGAATATATAACTTACATGGCCCACAGCTGTATGATAGATATATTTAACATGGAGTTTCCCTCAATAATCTCTAATGCGTCAGGCAGGGATATGTATAGTGGAACATTAGAGCTATCAACTCCAAAAACTCTAATGTCCCACTGCAATTGAATTGGTTTCTTCTTCAATTGTGGTAATATGGTTAGAAGCCTAGATATGGGATCATCCTAAGCTACTGTGATATTAGCATCATGAACAACAGGTTCTCTCATGACCTTCTTACCACGATTGATAAAATCCTAAAGAAAGAATCAAAATTAGTTTAACAATAATAGAATTATAAGAATATAAAAGAGTAATAATAGAATTACCTTTGCACGTGCTGAAAGCGGCATCACCAAATATTTTGGCCAAGCTAAGAATGTGTCGGTTGCCTGCCCCACTAGTTGAACCTCTGTATTGGGCAAAGGCACTGGAGCAGCAGCATCTTGAACTTGGTCAACCACAACCCGTGTCCAGTCTGGCTCTAGAGGAACACCATGGAT